TCAGAGTCTCTCATAGGCCTGTGATCACAATTACACTGGCTTTATAAATTCATTTGACAGGGATACCTAAAAATAATCGAAATCACAAAATCTAATATTTTATGTTAGAATATTAAGCATTCACTGTGTGTTTAATAACATACTAAGCAATACATATATGTAGCATATATAAATAACGTGTAAAATAATTTAATCCTCATGATAACTACGTCACACAAGTATTATTATCCCCATTTTAAAGATGATAAAATTGAGGTAAAGAGTGGTTAAGTCTTGCCCAGGGTCATATAACAAGAAAGTGGTGGAGTAGGCACCTAGACTCCAAAATGCCCCTACCCACCAGGCTGCCCTCACTCCATCCTCCCAACCACGGGCAGGGCTGGTCTCGGGCTTTTTCTAAGCCCATCACTGGAGTTCTCTAGTTTTCTGTCCACTTTCCAATAAGTCCAAATCCTCAATGAAGAGAACTGTAGGGCTTCACTGGGGACACAGAAGATATGACGGGCAGGGAAATATTCCTGTTCTTTGCTGGGAAGATCCAATGCTATACAGACATGTCAGTCTTTGCTACATTAACCCATGGAGTCGCCAGGCAGCAATCGATTTGGGACATAATCTGACAAAAATGATCCTGAAGTTCATCTGGAAAGAAAGGATATGTGGGATTCATCAAGAAGTTTCAGAAATGAAAACTAATGAGGGAAGTTTTAAGCCCTGCTAGGCATTATAAAGGATATTATAAAGTTTCAATAATTAAATCAGTTTGATACTGATATCAGAATAGACAGAGTAAAGACTTCTAAAATATACCCATATAATGTAGGAAATTAGAATATGGGAAAGGCTAAATTTGAAACCAAGGTGAAAAGATGTATTAAACCATAAACAGCACTGGGATAATTAACTATTTGGGATGGAAAAAGGAGGGAAGAAATCTGTCTAGACCCCCACATCATTCCTAATCCAAAAAAACATATTATTATTATTATTCAAAAATTTTAATGTTTAAAGCATTTATATTGTAAGAACCAGAGAAAGGCCCATCCGTCTGTTGCTGTTGTCCCCACATGCACGAGTGCGGAAGCGGAAGTCACCTCCGTGTGTAGCGTTGTGATAACATCAGTTCTGACAACCCTTTGTGTTTTTTAACATGCCATATCCCATCCCATGGCGGTGGACAGCTCTTATTCACCCCATCTTAAAAAGAGGTTGATAAGTGCCTTTATGAGTGACTCGCTCAAGGTCACACCCCTAAGTAGAGGCAGAACCGGTGTTGGGACTAAGGTCCCCTGACTTGCAGCCTGGGAACCTCTCTTTGTATGAGATGCATTCACCTTATTTTGATGTGTTAGGTACGTCTGTGACACCAGACACATCGGAATGTGGAAGGTGCTTTCCAGTGTGGCGGGCAGCGTGTCCGTGCGGCCCTTCCGCCACTCGCTACGATCCCGCCACCGCAACCCCTGCCAAGCCCTGGAGTACCACACTCTGCTTTCTCTGCTTCACACAGGCTTAGAACCCAGCAGTCTCTGCCCACGACAAACCCACGCTCTCCACCTACGAAGTGTCCCTGAGCTCTCTCACGCCTTATAGTCCTTCTCCATCCATCCCATGTCCCCTCCAGTTTCTTTTCAAGTGTCTCTCTCCTAACATATGCAGTTCCATGAACAGAATCACAGACCTCAACCAACCTAGACCTAGACCACTACAGTCCAACAGAAACATAACCGAAGACAGACGCGAATCACATGTGTAATTTTATGTTCTCTAGTAGCTACATCCAAAAAAGTAAAGAGAAACTAGGGAAACTATCTTCCATAATATATTAAATTTAAACCCAATATAGCCAAACTATTACTTCAACGTATAATCAATATAAAAATTATTAATGAGATATTTTAAATTCTTTTTTAATATAAATTGGGACTAGCCACATTTCAGGTGCTCTATAGCCACATGTGGCTAGTGCTAGTGGCTACTGAATTGGACAGCACTGACCTAGGCTCTCACTCCAGCGAAGATAGTCCCAAACTTTCATGACTCATTATTTCTGGATAAAGGGATCATGGGTGATTTTTAAACAAATAACTTTGGCTTATCTATATTTTTATTGGTCTCTAAAAAAACACAAATTGCACGTGTGTATGTATTTTTAAAACTTGTGATTTTAAATCTCTTTGGCATAGCAGGGGAATTTAAATGAATTAATCTTCACATTCGTGCTCTAGTGCAAATTATTTTTTTAATGGCACATGTAGCATCAGCATCTGCCTTCACTTCAACGTATCTAGCCATAACTGGCTCCTATATGCTTCACCATAGCTAATTATTCCCCCTGCGGCCTGCAACCCACCTACCTTCTCCTGTAGATCACCGGATTGAAGTTACAGAATGCCCAGAAGAAATATTTTCCATATCCTCACCACTTCTGTACAAATACTAATCCAGGCACAATTTCTAGTTTCACTTTAGTAGATCTGGAGTCACTAGTATATGACTTGGAGAACTCAAATTCAACTGATAGAAAAGGCTTGTCTTCAGTGCTGCTTCAGACTTATTTTTCAATGGCTTATTATTTACTTAAAGTTAAATAGATTCAAAAGCTATTATATATCCCACTTTGGTTTCTTTAAAAAAAAAAAAAGGGCCTATTGGTTCTCCACAAGCATCAGCGACTAATTTTTGATCAGAGAATGCGCTTCTCACCTCAAAGACTATGATTCAAATGTTTTTGGTGCTTAAAAATTGAAGCAGTTCTGTCACTGGAAAATGTGAACAGGAGGTACACACAGCTTAAAAAGTTAACTGGACTTGAATTAAACTAAAGTAAGGTCGTTTACTTTAAATACCTGTATATTTTTAAATTCATGTTACAGATTGGTTTCTCATCGCTCTGTGCCACCCTACTCATGACAGGCTTGTCCTTTCTCCCAGGCTTTAAAATATGGCATGTGGACCTCTGAACTGGAGAGTTACAAGACCTGGATTTCAGTCCTCACTTGCCAGTTGCCAACCAGCTATATGACCTTGAATGTGGTCCATGCGCCCTGCTGGTTTTGGCCTCCTAGGCTGTGTAAAGGGGGCTGACAACAGACTGCTCTCCCGGGCAGCTTCCAGCATTAGCATTCGTGACCTTTGTGCTAATCTTCCTCTATTCCATTATCCCCAAAACACTTGCCTCCTCACGCATCTTCCCCTTCCTAAATGAGAAGATGGCTGGCAGCACAGCAGTGAAAAGGGGAAGAAAGGCTGTTAAAAAAAAAAGAAGAAGAAGAAGAAAGAAATCCTAAAATGAGTCACCTCTCAAGAATTTGCCATTGTCTGGTGCCTGGATGCTTGCTCATGGTGTTAAATCAGTTCTCGCAGTAGAACTTGCTCTAAGAATCTGGTATTTGTTATGTGTTCTGCTTTTGGATGAGGTTTACACTTGACACCCATCTCTTTTAAGAGCCACTTGTAGGTACAAAACAACACTGAAGTTATGCATCAGACAGACATCAGCAGCCACATAAATCCGCTGTAGCGGAGCAGGGAGAAAATCAGATCAGAATCACAGAGAGTTTTAATTAGATTTTTGCACCAGCTTTCGATAAGTTAGCGAAAATAATTACAGCTCCCCAAACTTCCCACTTAACCTCCCCAACGGCCCTACAGCACCCTAAAATCTAGCCTGCTGCAAGAATTATTCCCTGTCCCTTAGGGCTGGCTGCAGCAACAACACCCAAGAGAGCCCTCCCTCCCACAGATTCCTTCACCATCGCCTGAGTCAGGGGGCAGCCAATGTTAGCTGTGGTCTGCTCTGCTTCCGCCCGGCCTGAATTTTTTTCATGCTGCCATTTTGAATTAACATAGGTTTTCTCTGCAACTGATGTACGCACGATCTGGTCAGGCTTGGAACACAGTAGGTGCACACACACACGGAAAGCTTGCCACAACCTAAACCAAGACACCTGCAAGCCAGAATTAAGCAGCAAATCCAGAAATCCCATATTAACAGAACCCTGACTCATTTTTGAGTCACGGCAAATGACAGATTCCACTTGCGTTTGGTGGACATTTTTAACCCCTGAATCCGAGTTCTCGACCATTCCCTGAAGTTCAAGCGTCCCTCCTGTTTTGCAGACCACACTCATCTCAGACCTCACGAAGGATGCTGCCAAATAATGGGCGTCGCGACAGACGAGAGAACCCAAGACGCAAAGGCAAACTTAAGTGGATAATCGTCTCAGAAACGCACGACAGCCTTTTACCAATAGGGGCTCCGGCGCCATCGCATTAACCTGCCCCGACACCCCCAACCCCAAGAACCGCTCCGGGTGTGGCTTGATGGGAAGTTGTGTCAAGTCCTGAGGCCCGCAGGGACAAGAGCAACAGCCCGCGCCTTCGCCCTTAGGGAGAGGGCCGTCCCCCCGGACGAGGGGACAGAGTCGGGCCACCGGAGCGGCCCCGCCAGGCAGCCATGTTCGCTCCAGCCCACCCGCGCGGCAGGTGCGTTACCTGCCCAGAAGATGCCAGGCCCGCTGCGCCCCAGCGAGCTCCGAACCCCGGGAGAGACCCGAGAGTGGCGAGGGTGGGGGTCGCACAGGCACACACCGCAGCGGGCGGCCGCTCAGATATCGGGAACAGGAAACGGGAAGAGCATCCTGGGGGGTTATGAGAGTTAAAGGATGGTGGGGTGGGGGAGGATGAGGTTGAGGTGCGGAGAGCGGGGACAGGTTCGGACCAGCTGCAGTGCCCGCGCCCTGGGGTGGGGCGTCCCTCTCCTGCGCCCCCGCAGCCCACAAGCCGAGGCACCCGCAACTCCCCTTCTCCCCCAGAGCCCCGAGGCCGCCCCGGCCAGCACCCGCCGGGACTGGTCTCGGGGTAGCGCTACGCGTGGGTTCGGAGGGACGCCGGGAGGTGACGAGGCGCTGGGGACGGCGATGGCGACTGGGGGTAAAACCTGCGGGGAGAAGCGGCTGCAGACGCCCTGCGCTCCGGGTCGTGCCGCCGAGGCTCACCTGCGGGGCGGCGGGCTCCGGGCTCGGCTCTGCGGTGCTGAGGCTGCGGCCGCCGAGGGTGCGGATGCTGCCGCGGCCGCGATCACTGCGGCGACGTCCGGAGCTGCAGCTGCAGCTGCAGTGGCGGAGGCGGCCGTCGGGCGCTTCCCCCTCCTCAGACTCTTGGCGCTCTGCCCGCCGCCCCCCGGCTAACAGCTGGCCCTGCTCACGTGACCGCAAGGTCCACCCCCTCCTGCTTCCACCCGGGGCCGCGAGGCCGCGCAGCCGGAGCCACGTCTCGGCCGCCGAGGCTGCAGCGCCGCGCTCGGCCTGGTGGGGGAGGGCGCCTAACAGCCGGAGGAGCGGCCGAGAGGGCAGACCTAGCGACAGAAAGTGGCTCTTTGCTCAATTTTTATTTCTTGGTCGCCTCCGGGGTTGCAGCTCTCTCTAAAGGGAAAATCCTGCTTAGGGAGTCGGGACCCGGTTCCTCTGGGCGCTTCTCCCGGACTCTGCTGTTTGGTTGCTACGTGCGGGCTTTGGTGCCTAAGCGAGAGCTCCCCGTGGAGGACCGTGTCCTGCACTCTGTTGACTCACATGTCCAAGCCAATTCCCTGGTATTAAAGGTGCCATCCTGTGTCATGTGGATATGTCAGACCCTATGCCGGGCACCTGGCCGATGAGGCCCAAAGAAATTAACTAACTCTCTTAAGGTCACACAGCAAGTAGCAAAGCCAAGATTCCATACCCGCGTTATTAACGCCGACAGGTGACAGAGGGTGTGTGTGTGTGTGTGAATGTTGGCGTCAGGGTCATTGGTCAGGACATGATCCATCTGTTAAGGAAACATAGACTCTACCTTTTACGAATTAATAAAAAAATAAAAAAATAAAAAGCCTATCCTGTAAAGAGAAAGTTCACAGGAAAACAAATACAAATACAATACTACCAGGCGTTTAAAAAGATGTTAAAACTCACCTAACTGCAAATCAGATACAGGGGTAGCATTTTTTACCTGTCATTAGAAAAAAAACAAGACATTTCATAACCTCTATGGAGGAAATAAGACAATATCAATCAGTATATGTAACAAACAAATACTTATATAGTCTTTGGAGAATTCACTTCTGCAGTTTATGCTACAGATATAACACAGGTGTGAAATGATATGAGTAGGATGTTATCAGTTACTATGTTATTTGTGCTAGCACAGATTGGAAACAAACGTCCATCAATCGGGGACTGTTCAAATAAATTACAGCACAATACAACGGAATGCTATTCAGCTATAAAAAAAAAAAAATGAGGAAGATCACTACATACTGATACAGATTTCCAACCTGTACTAAGTAGGTGGGGGTAGGGATTAGGAAGTCATGTGCAAAACATTGTGTGTGTTATCATTTGTGAGAAGAAAAAAGTATATACCTGTACTCGTATTTGCAAATGCATAGAATATCTTCAGAAGGATCCATTAGAAACAGCAATAGTAGATGCCACCGAGGAGAACTAGGTGGCTGGATGCTGGGAAGGAAAGGAGACATGGGAACCTGCCAGGCTATCTGCTTGGCCTAAAATCTTTGAAGCCTGTTGACGTTTCTCTGCACAGCCACAGGGCTGCAGGGCCAGGAGCCCAGGAACACATGAAGATAGAGGGGCATCTGCTTTCCTCAAGGCCTGCATGAAGCAGCTTGTTATGTGATATCACTAACCTTTATTAAGGAGCAGCAATGCTTTGTCTCTGCTTTGTATACAAGAGACAGACTCCGCCATTATTGAAGCCTCAGAAATAAAGATAAGAGAACAAAACAAATAGCCCAACAAATATAGAATACATCAAGAAATATCAATAGATTTTCATCATTGGCCTCTATTAATCACGTGAGGTTTAGGTGTGAGTAAGTTATAGAGTTTTTGTGAGCTACATTGCAATCACAAAAAAATTATCATAAATAACCTGCAATTATTACAGTCATTTATACTCCATCTAGCCATGTTCAGAGATTTAAGGGCTACAAGTAAAAGTACACCAGATTTCCCTTTTTTTCCAGGATAAAAACAGGGGTAGTGGTAAAAGGTAGGGGAGTAATTTCGGCTCGTATGCATTGTCATGCAGAGATACTCATAAAACCTTTCCGTAGTCACCTGTATCAGGGGAAAAGCAGTACGGAAACATTTCTGGCTTTATTTACAAACAGTAACATGAAAATAAATTTAATGAGGAAACCATAAACTAATTGATTCTGACAGGGCTGAAAAATGTCAACTGTATTTCTTCATAAATCCCCTAGTTTGGATTACTACTAAGTACTTTAGCAAATTTCTAGTTGATTCTAAAGATGAGTAATCACTCAGCCTGGACTAGAGGAAAGGAAGGTGCCCTAACACCAATGGAAAGTGACTGTGCCAATGGAGGGCCAGTTTGGGTTGGTCTCTGCCATAGCCTGGCTTCTCTGGAAGCAGACAGTGAGATGTGTTTTGAGTATAAGGGGTTCAGAGGGATCGACACATGTGAAAGGAAGGGATTGGAAACAGGATTGGGCAGAGGAAGAGGTTGAACTGCAACGCAGGCCCAACAAACTGTCAGCCAATCTGGTGGAGAGCTCTAAGCAAATGCTGCCAGCCAGAATGTCCCGCATGGAGGCAAACTGGCTCCACTCTTCGCGCAGGTTTGATGGTAATTAACTCTCTCAAGTTTGTCTAAGTGTTACTTAAGTTGCATTTCTAAAACATTTTTTGTTGTTGGCTACATAACTTTTGGTTGAAAGCCTCTTTGCTTTCAGCACTTTAAAAGTCCCATTCTATTGTCATAAGACGTTATCAGGCTTGCAAAGTTCCTGGGGGAGAAAAGTCTAATTGTCTTTCTTCCTCTGTACATAATACAACCTTTTCTCCTATGGTTACTTTTAGAGTTTTCTCTTTATCACAGATTTTGAGCAATATGATTATGATGTATGTTGATCTCTTATTTTTCTATGTTTATTCGATTTGGGGCTCACTGAGCTTCTTGGATATATATATATAATATA